CGCTCTCGACAGTATTTACAATACCCCTCCCCTCCCCAAAAAACACCATTACTATTCTGAAAATAATCGAAAAACGTTCGATCACGAAACGCGGACAGAGGCTACTACTAACCGTACCTGTGACCAGGCCCCTCGAAATTCGGCGATGGTACGAGATTGCGCTTGGAGAAGAGTTAATTAAACGGTTCGGGGAAGTCGATGTCGCCCGGGTCAGTCGATGAACCGTGAACGATCCAACGCGCGCACACCTTTCCCTTAATAATATCGAGGCGCGTATATATTCGTCCGACGCGCACGAGGACGAATCCCGGCCTCGAAATCGCGCAAACGGTTTCGCCTGCTCGAGATCCACATCTCTGACACGCCGTTGACGAGCCGTCGCTCCAACCCTCGCGCGTGTTAACGACCGCTTCGTTTTTCTCGTCCTCGCTATTTTCGCGGTGGAGGGAATTGCCGAATCTTCGAGCAAGGATGGACAATGAATTATATATCGATTTGACGATGATAATGATGATGATGTTGACGTGAGTATAAAAGGGGTAAATTTGATGAATGGATATATTATTGGGTAGAGTTTTTGTTTTTTTGTTTTTGTGATTTAGTTGATATCGATATTGAAATTGGCGAGGTTGAATATTAAAGAGGAGAATTTGTGAAACTTGTTTTTTATATGCGCAATCTTTCGAATTATTAATTCTATTTTTTTAGTACAGTATATTAAATTTTCAGGTTTATCGAAATTCGATGCACTTATTTTATCGAAGTTCTTTAAAGGAGAAGAATTTTATATCATTTTATATGAGAAGGGATTAAAGCCTGCGATACATAATTTATTATGGAATTTAATATTTTTATCTTTGAAGAACAAGGGGTTTATTTGTGTTATTCGTAATAGAAAATTCAGCATTGAATTCTATTAATAAAAATGAAAGAATAATTTAAAACTTGATCAAAAACTTGAAGATAACAGTAATTAACATTCTAAAGTATATTCATAAATAATAACAATCACAAATTATCGTATTTCTTAACTATTTTAATCCACAAATCTTGGCTTTTGTGTGTTTTTTTTTTTTTTTTTTTACGTTTTATTTACTACTTATTCCACCAAGATAAAATTAAAACTTGCCTCTATCTACTTTTTCCAATTTACATCGAAACCGCGAAGAAGCAGCCACGTAATATAAAAGGAAAAACGAACGAATTAACGTTCGTGAAACGTAAAGAAAGAACGCAGATCCAGAAAACAAAAGGCGTAATTGCGAGAAATACTTGGCCACTAACTTTTCGAACAACTGTTTTATCTCTCCTCTTCTTAAGAACACGTTTTAGAAGAAAACACGGGAAAAGCGGAATAATAGGAAGATCTTTAAAGCGAGGAAAAAATTAGTCACGCTTTTCACGTCGCGTGAGAAATGAAGAATGTGGAGAAATTAGCTTCCGTGCTAATTCGAAAATCGCATGCAGGCGACAATACATTTTTGTTTATTAAAAAAAAAGAAGAAAAATGCTACGATAAAAAATATAGCCTATTAAACGAAACATAAAATCTCTTCGTGTTCCTTTTTTACGAGTTGTATAACTGTGAAAGCGAGAAAAATTAAAAGAGTTTATAAAATGGGGATTTAATTACTTCATTTCTAATCCATCGTGACTAATAGGTAAGAATTTCTCATAAATTTTTCGTTATTGGAAAACAGTAATTATGAAAGATGTTTTTGTTGTAGAAAGTAAAAATATTTAAAAATAGATTCACTATCTAAAAATAGTGAAAAATTGTATACGTGCAAAGAATTGATTTGTGAGCTTTGGAAAGTGGATCTTATAGATAAAAATGAACGTAAAACTTGGTTGAGATTTGTTTACAAGTTATAAATAATTAAGTTTTGCATTTAAATGAAACGAGATGATGATAAAACGGTAAGTATGACAAAGATAGAGCAATCAATCGATTTTTTTTGTGTTTGTTTTAATTTTTAAAATCGACTATATAGAAATATATACCACGAATATATTACCATCTTGTATATGTTTCGTTTAATACCTTTAATTTAAAAGTTTCGGAACAGTTATTGCACGATTTTCGATCTTTTACGATCTTCTTTATATCACACATTGAAATTTTATTAAAAAGAAATGTATTAAGATTTTTGAATATTTTTATGTAATTCAAAAATTTTTATAAAACAATATTATTAATTCTACCGGAACAAATTTTGATAATTAAATCATTTTCTCCTCCGCTCATTCATCATTTTCTTTCAACATAAACCACGCTCAGATTATTTATATATACCAGTATATATCTTTTCACACTCTAAACCTAGTATAAGAACGTAGGTCAGTAGTCACGCAAGATTTTCTCTTCCATTCATTGCAAATGTACGTGACAAGCCCATGCTTTCTTCCTTTTATTATAGTACACATATTATTCCAAGTACCATATTTTAAAGCTCTTTTATTTCTTTCTTCTCTCATAATTCTTTCCTCTGAACCTACTGATCCTTCATGCGTACACCATAAACAGAAAAACACCGTACTGCAATTACAAGTGCAAAGAAAACATACTTTCTCCGAGGCACGTGACGACTTCCGATCATCCACGTTCCCATTCGAGAGGCTAAGTACCCATTCGATTTTCAATATACAGACTTTCGAGATTATTTGCATTCATCTATGGCGATTACCACACTTGACCTACCAGAAGAATTGCAACGAGATTTCTTCAACTTCTTCGAAGATCGTTTAACCGGATAATGGACAGTAGACATTGATGATGGCAAAAAGTCAATAAAATTATTAGAATAAGTCAATAAGATCATTTCATGCTTATGAACTTCCAATTATATCCATGTTCCCATTCAAAAAATTAATTAAGTATTTAATTCTCATAAAGCTATCTCAAAATTATTCGCTTTCTTGACTTTTTCATATTACTTATTAATTCTAAATATATAATATTTCATCATGCATTTCACTTTTTTTTTTTAACAAAAAAAGAAAAAATTCTTCTTGTAGAATAAAATAATAAATAATAAAAATAATAAATGACGACAAAAATGATGTGCAATTTTTCAAAATATATTAAATATCTAATATTCTTGGATATTTCTGGAATTAATCCATCTCTAAAATCTCAAGATCATTTAGAGTTTCGAGTGATTCATCTAAAGAAACGCAGCGGGATTTCTTCGATTTCTCAACCAGCCATCTAATCAAAATCAAACTGCCAAAGGCTGTTAAACACGTTGATGACAGTAAAAAGCGATAATAATAGGTGCGATTTCCTAGATCTTCAAGTTAATAATCTCCTCGATATCGTGATTTTTCAGGTATTCTCACAGGCTGGATTTAGAAATATAATTTCCAGATGTCGGTCAATATATCGACGCGAGCATGACGTGAACATGACACTTGTGAAACAGATACGATTTTGGAAAATGAACGAGGCTGGTATTTTACGCGTTCGTGGATATTCTGTCACGCGTGTTACCGGATTGCGGGATATTCTTTCCCGAGTGAGTGTAATGAAATCGACGCTGGAAATGGAATGGATGACTGTCTCGAAACGTGGATGATCGAGAAACGAAATAATAAATTTGACGGGAATTTTTGTCTGTCTGGTGTACCGTTATCGGGTAATGGATGATTGTAGTGCGTTTTTATTTATTGGAAGGAAATTTTAATCGATGTACGATTATCTGGATTATCTAACTATTATTTAAATGAGAAATTATTAAGTAGATTTCTTCGATCACATCGAAAATAATAAATTTGCATAAACACGGTCTAATAAAACAAAAACTTTTTCAACGATGAATCAACCCTCATTTCTTCAAACAAACTCCCGCAGAGTTGGTCCCAAGACAAGAATATGTGAAAAGGAAGCACATTCGAGAAGCAAAGCATCGCGTAAAAGAGCTAGAGAGGTAACACGATCCGGAGTTATTCCTCCGGTGAGTTATTTCTCGTGTAAGATGGATGAGAGGTATAGATACATGTATGAAACAACAAAAAAGAGAAAATCCACTGTGCAACCAGATTATAGTCCCTCGTTCTTTGACTTTCTACCCTCTGTTCATTCTATCATTGTCCTGAAACTTCCTTCCTTCTTCGTGAAGTATGTTTGGGATTTTTAAAAAATTGTTTTCTATATCCAGTTTTAATATTTTGAATATGAAAATGTGAGAATCGGTGAGAAAAATTGTTTTAGTGATTAATAAAATCGTTTCGTTGTTATAGTTTTGTTGTGAAATAATGAATTGGAAATGTTATTGATAATAATATTATTAATGATCATATAATTCTTTGATATATTGATTCGTATAAATGGACAAAACAAAATTGATTTCATTTGTGCAAATTCATGATAAGAGCATAGAATAATTAATTTTAATATTGACATCTTTCAATAAAATAAATTTATACAATTACTTAATATATTACTTACTATAATATCTATAGAATGTAAATTTATAATATAAATTTTTAAAAAGTAGATTTGAAGAAAGATAACTAAACTGAAATGATTAATTTTATGAATGAAAAATATAACTTTAAAAAAAAAGTTAAAAAAAAATGTAAAAATCATATATACATATGTAATTTCAATGAATGTAAAAAATTGGAATTAAGAATTTGTTATGATATTTCGGTAATTGATTTATATTTCATATTAAAGAATTGTTTATATATTAAGATTTATTATAACGATACTATAATGTTTTATCATATCAACAACATTTTATATTAAATGTGACATCACCCATAACCTTTAATTCGAGATTAGCAGTTAATAATTGAGGCTTGTTTAATATAAATTCTACTTTCCACATTTTCATATTTCGTATAAATTCATTAAGATAATCGAATATTGGTGCCACGACCCTTTGAAACTCGAATCATCGATGATTCAAAAGCAATAAACACGAGAGAATCGAAAACGTTTTATCTTTAAAAATGAAAACGAATAAAGTAAATAAAGCAAATAAAATACTTACGTGTTTCGCAAGAACGTCGTGCAGGCATAATCCTATAATAAATATAAGAAGCACCGACGACCTGAAACAAAAACAATATTCACCTTTTACTTTACCATTTAAATTCATAATTAAGAATGAATCGAAAATTTCTTCTATATTAATCTTTTTTGAAAAGAAATTTTATGCTAGAAAATAATTAATAATACATTATATCTTATGATCATAAATAAAAAGAAGTATGATAATTATTTTCCTTTTTCGAGGGGGAAATTAAATTTCATATAGATATAAAGTAATTTTCATTTTAACGTATAATAAAGAGCTATTGATCCAGAATAAAGTATAATCCTGAATTATAGGTATGTAAAATTGATATATCATACCGAATTGCATGTTTTTCAAGGTTAGTATTAGCTTATGCTTATTTTATTATTATATTTTATATTTATCAAGTAAAATCAGTATTTTATAATACTAATAAAGTTTTTTACATTTTTTATCATTTTCATATGAAAAAATAATAATAAATTAAATAGAAACAAATACATGTTCAACGCGTTTTTTTATAAATCACAATTTAACCTAACCTATACGTATAAAAATAATTAATAATGCAACACGCAGCAAACATAAATTTCTAATCAACATTTTAAATTATACATTACAACTTTTCTATTTACCTAGTACTTTATAATTTCCATTTTCATTAAACAGAAAAAGAAAAAGGAAAAGACGACAGTTAATAAATCAGCATTGAAACGAAACAATCACTTGTCCCGTGTCACGATCAATTCACATCGTGCTTCCCTCAATCCGCTTATTCATCTATACGAATCAATCAACCGACAAGTAATACCGCCAATTAAATCAGCCAAGAAACCGCAAGTTAATTATAAGCTGAGCGGTCGTTTTCCACGATAAATCAAACGCAACGGAACTAAAGTACGCGAGCCGGTGCGAGGAAACTGGTCGCCGCCATTGACCCAGACTTTGATTCTTGCGTGAACGTTGGGACGAGTTTCACCGCGAACTTGTCCCGCAAGTCGTTACGTCACTCTTGGTTAGACAGTTACATGCGCCATTACGCGAACGCGTCTTGATCGTCATCGATATTGTTGATTACGATTTCGAGATAGAAGATATGATTTAATTTGAAGATTCTTGAATTGAATGTTACAAAATTTTGATACAAAGCAGATATATAGGTCTATTGATGCATTAAATGTAACATAGGAAAAAAGATTGATAAATTTTTGTTTGAGGTTATCTTTTTGTTTGTTAATTCTATTTGTATTGTATTAAGTATGTTTTTTTCTTAAGAAAGGAATGTAATTTATAATATATACGTAATAAAAAGAAAAATAAGATTTATTGAAATACGAAAAGTAGATATTTTGTTGATTTTCTTTTTTTTAAAGCGGAACACACTAATTTGACTAAAAGTACATATTTGCAGAATACATTTTTGTATAAATCATTTTTTCGAAATATATTCTTAAATTCATGTTTAATTAATTGTTATAGTAACATAGGATTACAAAATAAACTAAGTCGAGTATCTAAGAGTTAAATATTCTAAGATTTTAAAGATCTATTATACAAATTTCTTTATTAAATTCAGAGGAATAAATGTGTTTTATATTCAATAATAATAAGTGATCAAGTCTTATAGTTTCAATTCATTCAAGATTTTCCTATAAATCCTTATTTAGATTTAAAATATGAACTGGATTTTGAATATCTTAATCATTGAATATCCAAAAAAGAGAGTAAAAAGAAAAGAGGTTAGGATAAAAACAATACAAAAAAAATCGCGTATTTTATTTTCTAAAACCCAATGCAAAGTGCATAACAACAATCACCTACATTCCTACACGTTCCAATTTCTAAAATTTAAATAATTAAATAGATAAGATATCATTTTCGAGAATACTAACTGAAATCTTTTTCATGTGCTACGAAACCGGAACGAGCCACTGGGTAATCGAGCCGATACTTCTCCCCCATTCGAGAATTTATAGAGAGAACAGGCGAACCATCACGCGCTCGTTGTTCCCGGCTGTCGTGGACGACGCGATAAATTATTTCACAGCAGCCGCTCTCTCTCCCGCTATTTACATGCGAGCACGCGCCGAGGCTGCCGATAAATCTACCAACTGTCTGAAATTGTATGAATTAGTCGCGATGCTCGCTACTTTCTCGCCTGATTTATCGGACGGTATCGTCCTGCGAATCGGATAGCGGATCTCGTGATACGTGGCTCTTTGGTTACCGTGATTTCACCGTGTTACGGCGTTAAAAACGTCCCCTTTTTTAGAAGATTTGTTGTAGGAAACAATTGGAATCTATCTCCAGTGGATGGATTAATTCTGTTGTACATGATGGTTTGATGATATATAATATTGATATATTAGTTTGAGAAAATTTTCAAAACAAATATAAAAATAATAATTATTTCTGATCTATATCATTATATTTAAATTAGTTCCTGAAATAGGATCATCTAAAAAAAACTTAAATAAAAACTGATGAGATTTATTAAAAAATTGAATCTATAGAATGCATAAAATATTCAATTCAATTAAAAATCCTAACTAATTTACTATGACTTTTCAATCAACCAACATTTACCCAGTTACAACACAATTATTCAACAATTATTATGCTATCATATTATTATCTTAATTTATCGTTTTCCAAGAAAAATCAACTCATTATAGAAAATGAAACTATAAACCTATAAATCCAAAAATCATCGATTCGTTATCCATTCATCCATTCAATCTCATTTGAAGAAGACTATTAGAGCGTACAATACACATTGAGTCATGATTATCGATACAAAGAGAAACGAATAATGAACAAAAAAAAGAAGAAAAACGGTGATATCTTCAATCAGTGCAACGACTGTTGTGTCGAAACGTGAATGAACGTGTTTTTCTGCTGCATCGACGCGCGTCGTTGCGTAAGTTCTTTGAGTGGGCGTCATTCACTGGTTTGGAACGTTGCCCGGGAACTGGCGCGAGTCATTCGAATCGTTGAATCGAATCGTGGCGGACAGAGAGAAAAGGGAAGAAAGGGAGAGAGAGAGAGAGTTATAGAGGACGTATTCTGCTATCGGTCGGAGGACATAATATTCTGGTGAAAAATGGCTGGCCGGTGCTATTGGCCGAGAACAATGCGAGATGTCGTGCCGTTTTAATGGCCGGCGAACAACAATCTTGCCCCTGCCGGATATAAATTGCTAAAAAGCTCGTCGCCCGTAAATTCCGCCACGCAGCTTCCTTCGCGAATTATTTCCGGCATTCCCTCTCCCGGCTGGTTGAAGGGGGATTTATCGTGCGGTGAATTATGCCAGAAGGGTGGAAAAAAAGAATGTTTGTTTCGTTTATATTTTTCTTCCCTTTTCTCTCGAATGATGAAATTTGAATTTTTATGAAAGATATCTTTACGTGAAAACTTCTTATTAATGTTTCATTTGTAATGTTTTTTTAGATGCTTCGCAGGAATTAAAGTATTTTCATCCTTTTGGCTACCTTTTGTGAAAATTTATTTCAAATGGAATGAATCTAGAGAACATATTTTAATCAGCTTATAATACGATATTTAAATGATAATTACAAAATCTGTTTCTCGATAGAATTAAAGGATAAGCTATCATTATTTACTTACAATTAGAGAACAACTTAATGCATTTACCTCGCTTACAGATGAATGTTTTATCTTCTAAATATTCTCCTATAAGTTTCAGGAATATCCATTCAATTTCCATCATAATTTTACGCCTACGTATATCAATAAATTTCGGCGAACTAGCGAATATCTCCTTCAAGCCACAATTACTTTGCAACCGGTCGCAGATGCGAGCGAGGTGCACTTGTGCCGAGACGATTGCATAAAACATGACAGTAATCCACAGGGGGATCTACGAGGGCGTTAATTGGAACGCAGTTTTCAAAGGTCTAATTGCGGCCGCGAAATCCTCATGATGTTTCTGTTCGGGCGTGAAACACCATGGCGCGTAACCGGTTTCACTTGAAACACAAGGACTGGTTTATATCGTATCCTCGGCCTTGACGTCTGGATGCTTCGTGGGTGCGGTAATTGGTCCCAGGTGAATAATTTTAATTGGGTGGCGAACCTGGAATTGATGTTAAGTGGAATTAAATGGCTCCACTGGGAGGCGTAGCGATTCTAACGCCGACCGATTATGAAATTGCGAATCGCGATGCAATTTCGTACTGTGATTGCTAAGATGTAAATTCAATTATTTTTTCACTGTTTGATATAAAAAATATTCGTCTATCATTATTATAAATTTATTTATATACATTTATACATATACATTTATTTATATATTGATTAAAATTTTAAAGCTGAATTTTAAAAAATTGAGAAAATTTTGTTTTAATTTTAGATAAATTTTGCTTTATTCTCTAAATTATATTAAATTCTTCGTGATTTTCGTCTTTTCAATAAAATGTTATGTACTGATTTAAAATTACTAATATTAAATTTTCTTTTACAGATATTATTGATATATCATGTTTTAGAATGATATAAAAGAAGATATGATAGAAGATTATAATTTTTTTTGGAAATTTATATCTTGCGTTTCTTGCATTTTCTTATTTATATTACATATTATATAAATTATTATATAAATATTATTATATAAATATTTATATATAAGATAATAAAATAAAAAAAGATATCAAAGATTCATAATTGATTTTTTGAAAATATGTTTAAGAATCATTAGAAATTAATAATAATTAATAAATAAAAAGGTAATTAAAAAAAATTTTATAATCTTTAAAATAATAATAAAATATAATTATTAAACAAAGCAAAACTCGATTTTAGAATATTCTATTATAATTTTCAAGAATCGATAAGTTCGCTCAATGATTCTTCACATAACATTTTTTACGATTCCAAGAAAGGGCTAAGGATTATAAAGTAGACAGCAGTAATTGCGAAATTTATGGTTCGAATCGAACGAGATTTGAAACGGCATGAATATGTAAAAGCAATGCGATCAACTGAACTTTTGCATCCAGAATGCTTCTAACAAAG